AATTCTTGCAAAAAGTGCAAGAAAAAGTGCAGTGCAAAAAAAGCAGATAACAGACATTTTGCCGACTTTGTTCTTTCCACTCTGCCTTATGAATTGCATGTCCAACAACCCAACACGCATCTGATTTCTTGAAACATTGGATATTTTTTATTTTTCTTTCAGCCAAGAAACCTGTAAACGAGGAGCTGAACGGCAGCAGTGCGGTGCTCTGAGGAAAGCGATCTCAAACTGTGACATTCTCGAATCGTTGCAAATAGGAGCTCAACTGCAACGAGCAATGAAGCGATGCGAAGAAGTTTCTGGCTTAGTCGACCAGGTTTGAATTGAACTTCGACTTAAGAGAAGTAGAAACGTAATGCGTCACTAGAGGTGTTCCAGCTCAAGGCTGATTCTGTTGCTCTGTCAAATCTGAGACCACAAAAAACTCGACCTGTAGCCCACACTTTCTTTTAACCCAAAGAGCTTATATATCTGATAGTATTTACAATTGAGCATGCACTAGCTTAAATAGTTAAATTTTATGAAAAAGATTTCTTTGCAAGGCTATAAGTAACTACTACTATCGAAAAAATTGGATAGTACGTGTGAAAAGAAGAATCATTGCAGGAAAAATGAGGCATAGTCTACAAGTTGTTAATGTTTTGATCGTGGAAGGAAAAAAAATCACTTTCCTTTGACGAGGAGATTTTATTTCAAACAAAACAGCTAACAGAAATTCAAGAACAGAAATCCATACTAAGAAAAGCATATTTGTCTTATGCTCATATTCGCATCATGACATGAAATTATCTCAATTTTCATCGTCCATTGGCCAAATCCAGTCAAATCACAAGTTTTTCCTAGTATCGCTGTGCCATTACACGACTTGTCTAAAGAATAAAATTGTAAACTGCACTTTATTTTCTTCAAAAGAAGCTTCGTTTGGATAGAACGCATTTTCTCGATCTTTAATTGATTACTCTGGCCCAACTTAACAAATTCCTAGATTATGATCTGCTTGGTGACTTTCACGAAATCGCATAAACTATGCAATATAATATATTATTATAAAAAGTAAAAGACACATCCTATATTTTTGCTTCAGAATCCGCTCGTCATTCTGAGTCAAATCAACA